CATGCACTTTATCGTTTTTAAATTATTGCGTATCGTTACTCTGACACAAACCACATTCTGACATGATACCGAAGCCAGACGAACTCTAAACGACTGGTTTCAGTGTCTTACTGTATACTTCTCTACCACCTTTTTTTATCAATCAGACTCATAATATTATCAAACTTGCAACCCCGATTTGCCCGATAAGCAAATAAAAATTGATCCTGATAATATTTGAGTAAGTTTTAATATACTCTTCCACCTTCGAATAAATTCGAGCTCAATCAATTGTAATACAATTTATTATAAAACATTAAGGATTAATGTGGTTGTTAATTATGAAACATTATATTAATTTCAAAACAACCAGAACTCACAGTAAGTATAAGTATACCTAATTTGTTCTTATTTATAAAAATTTGACCTTGATTGGAATAATTAATAAATACATACCGATAGCCAGTCATCGTCGTTACTCAATGAAATTTGTATAATAGTACGACTGCCATGATTATCGAACTTAACGTCGAATTGTGAACCTTCAAGTATATTCTCTTTCCGAGTGATTTGCGTCGATTGATATAAATCTCTCGAAATATCTAAACCTATTATATTAATTTTCCACTTCATAACACGTAAATGGGTTTTTGATTTGGTATAGAATATATATATATTTATATTTATTTATTTATACATGTATATTATACTTAATATCTATGAATATTTCCAAAACTGTTCCTGAAGAAATAATAAATATTATTATTAAATAATGATCAACTGCGCAACTAATTACCATTTATCATTAATTTTAATAACCGAATAAACCTATATATATTTATTATTCTTTGATACTTTATACACTTAGTGAATCTTCTGTCACAAACGAACAAACCAATTATTTAAAATAACAATTGAGTTTAAAATATACATAACTATATTATAGTTTATCGATATGCTCACACTCGATTAGAGATATTGATAATGAATTCCTCTAGCGTAAATGCTTTGTATTCGAACCAACCACTAAAAAACTTAGTTTTAAGTTCATAAAATTATATTTATGATTTTTATGAGTAATTCAAAGTTTGTGAATGTAGGATCTCGTTGTTGGTTATGTTACTCAATACTCATATTATAAGCATTTGTATATTACATTCAATTGGTTAAAATAACAAAATCATTTATGATTCATTTTTTCGATTAGAAAATATCCGATGATTATATACCTATCATCAAAATCCCAATTATTACGATCTTACTATAATCGTAAAGCATACCTACATAAGTTGCCGTAAAATTTAATATAGTATAACTACACGTAAATCTTCCGTAGGTAGGTACCAGGTTAACATTATTATATTATATTAACATTTTGTAAATACTACCATGCGTCACGCGTACCTATTATAATATTCATTAAATTGAGTAAAACTTATACAAATATAATATTATCATATTATAATGTATCGGAATCTTGTATAAGGTAATTTTTATTCAATGTGTTTTAAAATCGGTTGTGCGAGAAAAAAAAGCTGCCGTAAAAACGACTTTATAATTGAAATTTACTCTGGGGTATCCTTATCAATTATTTAAACATCAAACTCGGGTGACTAATACACCGTTATCCATCAACCTTTAATGTGTCCATTAAGTACGCGGGTAGCGTATCAGCATGATATATTATAGGTGAAATACTTCCGTTGTAAATTATAGGTAATGTCTGAAAAACAAAAACCAGAAAAAAATCATTTAATTTGTTTATACTTGCTGCAGTATAAAATATAGCTAATGTTTGTGTAATATAATACAGGGTGTTTCAAAATGATCCATCCGATTTTAATAGGCTATAAATCTGAATCAGCTGAATAATTTTTTGAAATTCCTTGTGTATATGGTAGCTAAATGACCCTGTATAGATTTCATGTATAATAATATAATATATTATGTAAACAATATTATTATAATCACAGAACCCCGAAATAAATACCTGTGCTGCGGTGATCATTATTAGTTGTACCTAAACCGACATCTCGTTATTAATTTTAAGAGATATTCTCAATCGAATACAACAAACTAATCCATATAATAATTTACCTGCCTGCACGTTTTCACGATTAAGTCATTATACGACGTTATACTATAGGTAATAATAATAACAATAATAATAATAAAAACTGGTGAAAAACGAATAAATAATGCATTTGGTTTTATTTCCGCGATAGCATTATTATAATATCACTGCAGCACTCTGCCGGTATTGCAGAAACCAATGCCAAGATTTACAATTTTTTTTTTTTTTGTGCTTTATTATCCAATCAGTCCATAAAAAGGTCTATAATTTTGTCCTGCACAATATATTCTATATAGACAGCTATGTTATAATAACAACATAATTACGCTGCTGTATACAGGAAGTCGACCAATTGTTTTGGAATTGCCTCGGTTGACGTGGAATGCTTTCCAACGTGTAATTGGTCGGACCGAAAGTTTATCCATTTAAACGAGTATTTATATTAATGGGGTTCCTTAAACTTAGTAGTATAAATGCTGCACCACTGTGTGATATAGGTTTAGGGGAGTGCGCGCGCACTCGTTAGTTTTGAATACGCAGAGTGATAATAATTGGGTACACACGATAAACCCGTTAATTTGGTTGACGTGTGTATTGCGACCGCCAGTTGGAATTACACAACGCGTGTCTGTCCACGATGACACACAATATTATAATCGGGTATTTAATATTTAGTAGTTAACCAATAACCATCCACATTAAAATTGTATATTCTTTAATACGGTGCCTAAATCATTTTCTGTTTTTAATTTGGTTGAAAAATAAAGAAACTCATGTCTAATAATTGGATGTCTCATTTAAGACGTTGTTTTCGTTCGGTAAAAATTAAATTACGATAGGTAGGTGAAGTTGTGAAAATAAAAATAAAAATATTATCTGTTCAATGTATAGGTACTGAAAATAATATTACGGTATAATATATATAATTTCAAACTATTTAATTATTTTTCACTACGCACATTTTATTTAATATTCTGGAGTAAAAACTGTGCACTAATGGTTTTAATTTTTAACTGTAAAATATATTGACAATATGAATTGTAGAACCCGTACAGTTCACGAACTTAACGTTCAACTGTTCATGTGATTTATTACTGGATAAATAAATCTAGACTATAAAATAAGATTTTACAACTCTGAGATAGGTATCATGCAGGTATACGTAGGTATTCCTGGTTAAGTTAGGTTAGGTTGCTTCAAGAGATGTCGTTTTAGGTACAACTAATAATGATCACCACCGCACAGGAATTTCTTTGGGGGCTCGGGCACGGCGACAAACCTGGTGGTTATTCAAAACTGTATCGTGGTTATCATCAGTATATTTTTTCGGGTCTATATAATATTACGATATATTCAATGAATGGAATATTGATAGGTCTTGGCCGTTTCCCATCGGGCACATCTGCCTATAGACAGCTGATGGACACACCATCATTCATAGTATACTATTCTCAAAATATTATTAGACGAGGAGGTCCAATCCGGTTAGGTTTAACGTGCTCATCAAACAAATACGTATCATAGGTTACGTTATAACAAATGAGGGTCATACAAAAATATATTTATTCAAGTGATGTTAATATAATAAACAAAAAACAGAAAAACCACCCATTAAAATTATTTAACTCTCTTTGAACTACTAAAAATTAAGGTATTATGGTTAAATATTATTAAATTGCTATACTTTTACAAGGGTTTTAAAATATATAACCTAACCTTAAAAGTAGCTAAAGTTCTTAGATATATCAGTTTCATTATTCTCCCTTTCATTGTTGTCTTTATTAAATTATTAAAAAAATGTCACTGACGTTAACTATTTTATAAAAATGATTTCATTGTTGCGAAAAAAATAGCTTTGAATACCTTTTTCAAATTAGTTTAAAATATAATGGTTACTTTTAAAATAATAAAAATAAACCGTTTTTGAGACTTTGTACGATGTAAAATTTAAAATTTAACCGAAATGTCTTGGTAATTTCAATATTAATTTTAATAAAAGACGTAAAAATAGTGATTTAATTATTTTTTATAGTATGTTTAAAAAAATATATACTCAAAATCATCAGAGTTGGCCTATAAATGTGATTTTCAAACTACAATTATTTTAAAAATCAAGGAACAACCAATAAAAAATGTTAATTTCGTGCAACACTCAATCGTTACTTTAACTTTTCGTATTATACAAAGAACAAACATACTTGTTGACTATGAAATAATTATTTGTCATTTTAAGATTTTAATAACATCTAGTTTTGACATAAACCAACCCTTAGCAAAAATAAATCCCTTTGAATTTCAAGCATGGTACAGTTGAGTGATATAAAAAATGGTTTCTATTTCACCAGAAGTATAAGATTCAAAATTGAAGGCACATTTTACATATTTTATACAATATCTATTATCCATCATACTTAACCTAATCTGTCTTTAAATTGTATGTTTTTGGCCTATCGTTAAATAATACAAATACCAACATATTATACACTACTAACATACAACATAAACGTTTTTGGGGACAAAATAATATTGAAATTCGGAAAAAACTATCAGACACCATTATAATGAAATTTCTTCATTTCAAAATATACAATATTTTATATACCACCATATCAAACAATCGAAATAGAGCCATATTGTGAATCCACTACCACAACGCAGAAACCTCACTTAACCAACTAGAAACTAATATTCTGGAAATTAACTGGTTTGACACCAAGAAAAGTAAACCGAAGTAGTAGATTCAACTGATCGGGCAAGATAATCAGTAAGTTGAAATTATGGTGGCCACTTTAGAGAACGCGGTTACCAAATACGTCAGTCATAGAGCTAGCGATGGAGGCCATCTGACTGTGATCAGCTAATTTGCATCAATCATCAACCAGCTGAGGTACAAGGAAGTCTGCAGTAGACCTGAGTAGATGATCAGATAGGCTACTTACCACCGACATCAAGTGCACGAAGATATGCCAATAATAATAGAGCTAAAACTGGTGAAGAACCCGTCGAATACCAATCGGACGCTATGGCAAATCCTTAAATTGCCCATACAACTAGGAACCCATTTGCTGGCCTTTCTCCAACCGACCAACTCTACCAATTCTGCAGGATCCGTGGTAATTAGCCGTGACCACCAAGAATTCAACTGGCCTATCGTCTTGCCCATTAGGTTAATCATCAACTTTGGTTTTTCATTTTTAAACTCATACCAATTCATCTCCCTAAATCTTAACTAATCCGTCGTCATCATTGATCGCATCGTCGTTGCCGTTCATTCTACTCGGGAATGTCTATTTAATATTACGAAATCATCATACATAAACTAATTATATAGTAGTAAAATGATAATAACTTAAGGCAATCTGGATATTGAATAATGAGTTCAAATGATAATAATAGTTTATAAAAATCATGGTTGAAACTACGCTCGGTGTTTGATAATTAACAATACATCGAGATGACTCGATGTCAGATAAAACAATTATTATTTTTTACTTTGTGCTTTGTAAAGTAGAATGCTTCTAACGAAACTAGCGTTTTGTCTCGAAAGCGTTTTAATGTCATATAATTATATGTTCTAGATATTTCGTATAGACTTAAAAGAACACTTCGATCGTTCGGATCCGTGGTTATTCTTAATAAATTAGATTGTTACAAATTATTTTCACTTGAAAAATTCTATTACACATGAATGAAAGACATTTGAAAGGATATAATGATGAGATAGTCTTACACTAATAAAATATGCCAACTACGGTTAAATTATGAACACGTACTTTTTTAATGTGGTAATCGATGAAAAACGCCAACAATCTTTTTACCAGCAATTTTGAAACCTATTTTGTCATACTCACGAATTTGTTTGCAATCAGTTATCACTTATCAAACTACCTCCTGCCTTCGAGATAGTGTTAGTAAAGTGTGGAAAAACATTGACCATACCAATTTTTGAAACACTGTACTAAATAATCATACGATTTGTTGCCACAAATGTCCATATACCTAGTTAAAAAAATATACCCAACATAATATTTACCCAAAATTAAAGATCAATTTTTAAATTACTATAGTTGTAATTTTAACGAGTACATAAACCGAAATAATTAAAATGCTGAAATATCCAAATTGTCCACGTGTGTGAAGTTGGGGCAGATTTTTGGAAATTCGCCACATGGGAGGGCTTGACTTACAAATACCGAAAACCAACTTATAAATGAAGATCTTTAACTTACAATCGGTCCGGTTCGATTCGGTCGATATGGGGGGGGGGTGATGATTAATATCTAGGGCTTCAGATTTCTCAGTTAGGACCTACTTACAAATTCTGAAAACCAACTTACAAATACTTACAAATGAAGATCTTTAACTTACAATCAGTCTGGTTTGATTTTCCCAATATGGGGGGGGGGCAACTTCACACACCTAAATTGTCCTAGAAAATCGAAACTATAGTGACAAACAATTCGTTTTTATTCAATGACAAAGTCATATATATATATATAATTTATAGTTATGGGAGCATTAGTATTCTTAAAATCATGTTTTTTTTTAGAATGAAAAAAGTTCAAAAAACCTAAGGTAGGTACTAGGTAGTAAAATATAATTAAGAGTTTTCAAACTGTTCTTAATGTTTTTTTTTATTTCTGCATAATTCTTTTATATTATATAATATAAAAAAAATACCATATGAATCGTCTATAACAGAATTTGGCTGTTATATGACTCGTTGTTCTTGACATTTCCATTATGACAACTCGTGGACCGTAATATATTTTCTGCGTTAGTTCGTTATGGCAAATGAGAATAAAGAACCAAAAAATAATAATAACTTGTTATAAATTGTTTTTTTTTTTGAGTCAAAGCAAATTATTTCCTTAAAAAAAATATTTTTTTCCCAATGGCTTATAGAGTTAGCGTGGTGGACCATAATAATCCGGAGAAATCACCATGCATTCTTGACTTATATCCACAACAGAGTCCTTAGTTCAGGGAACTGTTTGTATAAAATTAATAAACAAATTTACAAAATGTATAAGCCTAGGGAATTTTAATATCTCCCCTTCCAATCTCCGAAGTATTACAACATATAAATAACTTCTCATCAATTAATTATTATTCTACTTAGCCAAATTTCTGTTTACTTTTTGCTCTACACTTTAGCATGTCATACTATCTTTTTTCTGGGCACTTAATAATATCTTAACAATATGATTTGCTTATTTTGGACCAATAGTGGTGGTGGACCAAATTTGTCATTAAACATAACAAAAACTATTACTCGTTACTTCTTCATTCTCGTAGTTTCTAATACTTAAAATAATTGTACTAATTCATGATATGCACATATCCCAGCACAACTTACTTATATACATCGGTTGTATTTTAATGCAAAACAAAAAAAAAACGAAGGAAAAACATAATAATATTATCTTAACCGTTGTGAGCGGTTACGATTAATACTCAACCGAAGCCTTCTGATTATGCTTATAAAAAGCGACATGTTATGAAAACCATGTAATTAAAACACATGAAATATTTAAAGTTGTTTAATTTTAACCACTCTTGAGTTATGTGAAACTGTAATACTGTTTAGTTTATGAAAAACTACTGGATATCGACATAACTTACCTACCTATATGTATTTTATCGCAGAACACTTTCGACACGCAGCAATGACTGTAAGCGAGCAAGAAACTACAACTTGTCCGACCAACAACGGAGCCATTTTGCCGATTTTGTTATCAGTTGGTTTTATTATGCGTCAAGATGATGGTGGAAAGCCACCGAATAATCGAAATAATAAAAATAATAATAATAATAATAATAAAGATGATGATAATAATAACGCGTCGATAACCTCAGCTGTATAAATACCGTCGTCGTCGAGCTTATACCCTTCCCCAACCCTCGGAATCGAGTATTATACGCACACCCCTCTCCTGAAATATAAATACAATTCTTAGTATAGTTTCTCCAACCACACGATACTATATACAACCCCTAACTCGGATGATAATAACCGGAATGGGTTTTTTCAACGTTCTTTCGGCTACTATAGCAGGTGATGTACACACACACAGACGCTGTAAACGAAGGTTATTTTCAAGTATAAACTGTCTACCGTTCAAGTAGGATTAAGTCTCACACACACAAATACATATATTATAACATAATCATCAGCCATCCATATTCCTTCTACTCGGCACCTACTATATAGTCCTTTTTTGTTTTTAAATCTAGGATTATTGTCACAGTCTTCTTTACCCAATTATTTATTATTACGTCATCGTATAATTTTTATAATTATCTTGAACTTTTGCGGTACTTGACAACAAGAGGATTACTGTTCCGACTTACCGCCAACAACGTATGCCCACTATGCGACAAACCATCTGCTGCTATATATAGATTATTTATAATATAAAACGCATAATAATAATTAATAATCCCTACTCGTTTAGATAAAATATAGTTTAATTTAACTGGGCGTGATTTATGTTGTAGGAAACAAGACAATTATAATAATTCAAATTGACAAAATATGCGAATTATTAATAATACGACAGATGAGAAAATTACGAAATATTACGATATTATAGTTATTTATTTATACGTTTTTTGAATAAAACATAGCCATAATATGAAGTAGGTATGTAAAAAAAATCTACTCGTACCAGTAGGTACCACTATACCAGACGAATTGTTGAGTTGTTTCCATGTAAAATGTATTTACTGCCCTTTATATTAATTAATTCAATGTTCAGAATTTCTTATAAACATATACCTACTTTGATAAAAAGCAAAAAATGATTGTATTGACAGTATACAATTTATGAGTCCCATATGCTCGATATTATAATTCATTTTTATTATTAATTCAGAGTATAGAGTGGAGTTGTATTATATGCATTTTATATTTCGATTTTTTATGTTGAATTCTAATTATTTTTCTTTTCAATTTTTTTAGGTAAGTGACCAATTTTTTGGACAGCTAAATGAGTGAAGATGGAACTTTTTTTTGTACATCTATCAAACGATTGGAAATTGAACACGGATGTTGCATTATTGGAAAATTCATTTTTGGAATTTTCCTTCAGTTACCTACAGGAAATAATATTGAAAAAACTATAAGCATGACAAAGGTAAAAGTTATAAGATAGACGCTGAACGAGCATTTTAGGAGTTTTAGACATTCTATTGAAACGAGAACAAAAATATACCTATTGACTTACAAAACCATTTTAAATATTTGACATTGTTTATTTTAAAAATATTTCGACTGTTACATATTATTAATAACAATATAAGAAATTCATTGTTCATATCTATAATATAAAATACAACATTTTTAAAGGTACGTATAAACTAACTTGGATTATTTTGGATATATTTAAAATGCTTCACCGTCGAAAACGTTATTATGTTCATAATGTTCTTAGATACATATTTTATGTTAAGTATGAACTATTTTTTTAATATAAACAGAGTTTTTTAAGCAGCTGATGTATCCAAAATATCAGAAATAGTAATCATATAATATACTGCTTACATAATTGTATAATTGCCGATATTATTTTGTTTTATTTTCGTATGATTTGTAGCTTTGGGTATTATGAATTTAAGTTTGAATACAAGGTTACTCACAGCATATTTCTTATTACACTTACCTAAAATATATTATTTATATTACGTTAGTTAAGTTACGGGGATTTTCACTCATAAATTCCTTGTAAGTACACTTGAAATTAAAAAATAAATAAAGAACAGTAAAATAGATCGACATCTGCTCAGAATCGTTTTCCCGACGCAATGATCAAATATATAACTCTCAAATTCAAACCCACTCACGCTAGTGGCTAACCTTGGTCTTAAACAGTTAATTTTTTTACATTTATATACAGAACAATATACTTTATAAGGTTGTTAGCTTACAAGTTTGATAACATTTGTTAAGTATTCTGTGTAGTTTGCTATATTATAGCATACATTGTAATAGAAAAAAAAATAATTTAATGTATTTATTATATTAAGAATTATGTACCTAAATGGTATAGTTTTTAGACAATTTATTCATACTATTAGATAATTGATACAACACAAATGTTAAATGTTTATATTATTGTATTTTTCTATTTTTTTTTTTTTTTTTTTATTGATCTTTAAAGCCCGGTGACTATGGCCATTAGCTGATTGTGGGATCTTATGATAGAAGGTAGT